CTGTTTTCAGTAATCATATCGCGGGGGCTGTGGTAGACAGGGGCAGAGTCTGCCCGTCCTGCCTCCTGCCCCTTCCTTTCTCACGTTGTATCCCAGCTCCATCTCAGTGTCTGCTTCCAGAGAACCCAACCTGCCAAGAGGAAGGAGCAGTGCTATTATTCTGAGACCTTTATATGTGTAGTTTGAGATAAAACAAATCAGTAATCACGTTCGTTTTGTTTAAAATCAGAATTTTGGGAGTAGGAGAAAGAAGTTTCAACAGAAGACAAGGCTTAAGTAAAAACCCTGTAGATTTGGATTATAATTCAAAGTATTAAGGTGAAAAACGTGATATACTTTATCTTTAAAATGCATATTTTTGTATCAGTCAGCTTTAGCTGCTTAACAAACCACCTCAAAGTTTAAGGGCTTAAAGCAACAAACATTTTTATTTCTCATGACTCTGTGGGTTAGCTGGGTGGTTCTTCTGGTTTGGGCTGGCTAGTTTGGAGATGGACTGTGAAGGATAGCATAATTCACACGTCTGGGGCCTCAGCTGCGACAGCCAGGATGGCAGTGCCTCTTTCCAGCTGGGCTTTTTTCCTCAAGGACGCTAACTCAGCCTTCTCCCCAACATTTCAGTGAGCAAGCCCTCATTGCACATGTGCGTGTCAGATCTCTGCTTTTGTCACCTTTGCTGTTGTCCATTAGCCAAGACAAGATACAAGGCCAAGCCCAGATTCGAGGGCTAGAGAAATAGATTCCACGTCAAGACAGGAGGGCAGTCAAACTTGCGTTGCAAAGACGCATGTTGCATACAGGACGCAGAGGGATTTGTGCCCATCTTTGCAACTTACCATAATTTCCTAGCGCTATTTAAAAGACCTGGAAACAATTATCTACTAAAAACTGCTATTTTGAGACCATGATCTGGCCACTACAGGTCCTCACTGCTATCCAGGTGGTCATTGTTCCTAGGTATTTTCAAATGAGTAGGAATCAGCACTAGGACTCCCTGGAGAGATGGCTGCTTCCAGGTCTGGGGCAAGAAAAGTAAAAGATGAGGCTGGAATATCTTATAACACCAGACCACAAGAAAACTATTAAAGACTAATAGGGTTGTATCAAGGGACCTGGAATATGGAAACGACCTAAATGTCTGTTGACAGATGAATGGATAAAGAAAATGTGAAATATAAATAAAAATATTATATAAATATATAAACGCACACACTATGGAACATCATCCAGCCACAAAAAGAATGAAATCTTGCCATTTGCAACATCATGGATGGAGCTTAAGCGCATTATGCTAAGTGAAATAAGTCAGAGAAAGACAAATACCACATCATTTCTCTTATATGTGGAGTCTAAAAGAAAAAAACCCCCAAAAACCCAAGCTCATAGATACAGAGAATAGATTGGTGGTTGTCAGACGTGGAGGGTTGGGGTGGGTGAAATGGGTGAAGGTTGTCAAAAGGTACAAACTTCCAGTTATAAAATAAATAAGTCCTGGGAATGTAATGAACAGTACGGCAACTATAGTTAATAATATCGCATTGCACATTTGCAAGTTGCTAAGAGAGTAAATCTCAAAACTTTTCATCACAAGAAAAAAAAACTCTGTAACTATGTGAGGTGATGGATGTTAACTAGACTTATTGTGGGGATCATTTCACAATACATACAAATATCAAATCATTATACACCGGAAACTAATATAATATTGCATATCAACTATACCTCAAGAAAAATTATTTCATAATACAGGTATATACTGTTATTATAAAACACTGCACTTAGTAAAGTAAAAAAAAGAAAAAGGAACTTGGAACCAACTTGAATAGACTTACAACAGCCAAAGATGGAGAAATTTGAGCATTAATTAGAATAATAACTGCAAGGTATTAAAATACATCAAAAATGTTTAAAATCCCTGAGTTCATAATGACACTAAAGAAAAAAATACCATTGGTCATCTTTGGAGGATGCTCACAAACTAAGTCATTATTTTAAAAACTGGTAATTAAGCAAAGAATCAAGCATTTATTTTGTCTTTTTTATATTAGTTGTACCACAAGGTAACCTGATAGTTGATGATGGGCAAGTTTCTCTTTATAGATGTTTCCAGCTAATAAACGAAGAAGAATGATGCCATTTTTCTATCTCTAGTGAATTAATCAATCTAGGTAACGGTCATCATCAATTGTAAACACATACATGCACACAAAGACAGCTAGACATCATGGGCCTCCTGCTGGAATATACAGCACTACTTGTGAAATCGTCTTGCCCCCAAAAAAACAAACATCATATCTGAATCTGATCAAGACTCTAAATTGAAGCATCGGCATAGAGGTCAGAGGAATGGGTGTTAAATGACACCATAGGGATGAAATCAGAAAATCTAGCCCTGCAGAAACAAACAATCTTGTCTCTTTAACAAAAAATTGCAAGGCATTAAAAAAAAGGGGGGAAACCTAAAGATTAAGAGAGTTAAGACATATCAACCAACTGCAATAAATGGACTGATGTTTGTCTCCCTTCAAAATTCACATGTTGGTGGTGGCCTTCAGGAGGTGATTAGGTCACAAGGCGGGGAGCCTCTTGAGTGGGATCAGTGCCTTATAAGAGAGATCCCAGAGAGTTCCCTTTCCCCTTCCACCATGTGGGAACCAAGAGAGGAGACGACTGTCTATGAAAAAGGAAGCAGGCCCTCGCCAGACGCTGAATCTGCTGGCGCCTTGATCTTGGACTGCCAGCCTCCAGAACTGTGAGAAATCAGTGTTTGTTGTTGAAGCCACACAGTCTATGGTATTTTTGTTATAGCAGCCCAAAGGGACTAAGGCAGACTTTACTGGGCTTCTGATAAAAAAACAAAGTGCAAAAAATGTTTACAAAAATTGTTTCACAGGAAACTGTGAAACCTGATTGTGTATTTGTTGCTATTTTGGTGCTAGCAGTTTCATTTTTTTAGGTGTGATGATATTGTACTTATGTTTTAAAGAATCTTCCTTTTTCATGATATCTACTGAAATATGTATGTATGATTTCTGGAATTTGCTTTAAAATAATCTGGGTGGGGAGAACAGATGGGATTCTAGAAAAGGAAAGATTGCCTATGAGCTTTGTCGATGAAAATAAGCCATAACCAATCTATAAATAAAAATTTGGGTGAGTTTATTCTGACCTAAAATGTGAGGGCCATGGCGTGGGGCCTTTCTTCCCGAAGAAGTGGGGTGCACAGAGTGGTTATATACCCCCAAAAAGGATGTTTCACATGATTGAAATGTCCCTTTTACAATCATTGCAAGACTGCTCTGTCGGCACGGCGATTGATGGACACAGCAGGTAGGTCGCTGTCTCCGTGGACACTGCTGGGTGGCAGTCTGTTGTCTCAAGCCGGGTGGTCACAGGTGAGGTGGGTGGTCAAAGGTGAGTACAGCAATCAGTTCCTAGCCTAAGGAAAGATGCTCATCCTTAAGGAAATGCCAATGTGGGGGAAGTTGCACCTTTATCCTAAGGCCATTTGTTCTTGCCATAGGAAATGTTTAAAGCAGATATACGATGCATGCTCAACAGCCATGTCAGGCCCTTTTGGAAAAACAAAGCCAGACCGAAAGGTTTATACTAAATGGCTTCCTCATATACTCCAATATATCCTATTGCTTGCCATTTCTATTTGTCAGCTTTTAACTGTTGATGCTGAGTGGCATAATGGTTTATTATACCATTCCCTCTACTTTTATATATGCTTGAAATTTTCTATATCAATAAAACACACACACAAAGACAACATTAGGAAGATCAGGGCATAATAAGGCTCGACTGGAAAAAATGACGACAAGCATACCTAGCAAGGAGAAAAAATATGACAGCGAAGTGCAACAGCATTGACTTGGTTGAAAGATTTCTATCATATTTGACTTCCTCTTCTCTGTGGTCTATTTTCTTTATTCTCTCAACAGGATTTTCTTTGATACTTATGCTAGTCTCCATTTGACCAGCCAAGATCCATTCTCTTGCCCTTCTTTGCCTTTTTCCGGATTCCTGGAGGCTACCTCTAGGAGCTGTGTCACCCAGTCTCCAATATAGATTGACTTCTGGTTGCGTTTTGTCTGAGAATCACGGAGCAGACAGAAGTCAGGCTGCAAGCTCCTCCCCTTCCTCCCCGCTGGGCACCGCGGTGTTAACCACGGCAATTTCCTTCTTGCAGCTCCAGCTCTTGCAGGACGGCTTCTCCTGCCTGGCTGTGCTCTCCCTGAGCTCTGATAACACGATTTGCTCCCCTCCTCCCTTCAGGCCCAGGCACGCTAATAGATTCCCACCCTTGCAAGCTCCAGATGCTTCAACAGCTCTTGCTTGGTCCTTTCATGAAGGCACTCTTGAAATAGTCCCTTCATCCTCAGTTAAAATGTGTGAACCTAATTGCCAGGTCCTGAACAGATACAGTTCACCTTAATGACACACTATTTTCAGGATAACTGTATTTTACACTACTCAAAGCTGGAGCTGAATTAATTGCCAACAAATACTTACTGAGTACCCGCTGTGTGCCAGGCACTGTGCAGATAGATATCTGCTTATACAAGCGTGAATGAACCAGAGGTCTCTGGCCTCATGAGACATAGAGTCCACGAGGAGAGTAAGACGGTATAACAAAATCCTTCTAGTTGAATTGAAATGCTGAACCCAAACTGGCCTATGCAAAAAGAGGAATTTATGGGATTTTTTTAAAAAAAAGTTCAGAAACGGCTTGCTTCCCAGGAAGTTTTATCTAGGACTTCAAGCAATGTCGCCAAACCCAATTTCTCTCACGGTTCGGGCTCTGTTTGCCAAATGAGGACTCAGTGTTCAAACTAGCTCTTCCATGGGGAAGCAGATGTGACGCCGCAGTTGGGAGGACCGCGCGAGCGCCAGAAAATATCTCAGCCCTGCTCAGTGGCCGGTCGGGAACGCGGCGCTCTGATTGGCCGGCCGGAGCCTCCACGCCGTCGTCAGCCCTGGGAGCGGAGTCTGCGCGTGAAACGCCCGGATGCAGAATAGGGGCGGGGTCTTCTCCAGAGGAGCGCTGCAGTATAGAATCCAGCCGCAGCAGCTCCAAAAACGTTAGACGTTCGCGAAGAAAGATACACAATGATGTGTCCTGATAAGTAAATTGAAGCTGATCAATATTGTTGTGCAAGGTGACGTAAGGGCAAAGCCTCTCCGGGTGAGCCCCGTCTGATTTTAACCGCACCTCTAGCGCTCAGTTCCCAAGCGCCTGGACGGCCTCCACCTCTCCTTCTGCCTCGCGGCTTCCTTGGTAGGTTTGGGAGCTCGCTCTGACCGCATTCAGGGAGAACTGGAGTGTGCACCAGGGCAGCCCTTAACCAAAAGAGGAGAGAAGCTGGTGGGAAAAGGCCCCAGCCTCCAATCCTTTTAGAGGACAATCCTGAAGCACATTCTACGGGGTTCATCAGACGGTTCCCAGGCGGAGAGAGCCCCGGTTGCTCATAAGCGTAACCAACCAATAAGTGGGTCTTTTACTGGATTTTCCTGCTCCCCCATCTCACTCTCCATCGCTCCCTCACTAATCCCGCCCTAAGTCCTTATCCTATCAGTCTCTGCTCAGGAGATATCAAGCTGAAACCCAGCGGGAGAGGAGCTCGCCAGTCACAGCAAGAAGACCGTGGTTTTGAAAAGGAGAGAACTCTCCCATCAAATAGGAAAAATATATCAATTTTAGACAGAGGAGAGCTAAGAAAGGTAAAAATGAAACTGTATTTAATGAAAGCAAGACTGAATTGCTTCTACAGTTTAATAATAATTGTAAGGATTCTTACAATTACTTGCATATTAACATAATTCGTCAGGATAATAAATGTAATGTGTATAATTATTAAAGTTGATTAACCTTGTTCCCCTCTATGCACTGCAATTTTTTTGAAAGCAGGAAGTGCTCCAAACTGATATCTCTAAATTAAATTTAACTCAATAAATTTGCATTGAGTGTATTCTGTATCCAAAGCACTTTGCTAAGTGCTGTAAAACAAATTGTCCTCTCTCAAGAGGTCCTCAGAGTCTAGTGAAGGCAACAGATATACGTAATTAGCTCAAGACTTACCAAGGGAACTCGGGTTACAGGTATAATCGTAGTACCCCGTGATCCCTTAGTAAACATCATATATTCATTCATCTTTTACTGAACATATACCTTATGCCAGATCTGTATGAGGAGCTGTATTATTCAGGTGCAAAAAATATCAATGTGTTTCCAAAGGCCAACTCTTCTTACAACTACCTGCAACTTCTCTACCTTTGCTGTGAGCATCTTTCCTGCCTTTCTGAGACTCTCCAAAGAAAACCCCCCATTTGGTCTTTTTCATTGCCTCCCACGCCTACTTCCTGAGGGTTTTGGAACTTCTTCCTCTGGAAAACACAAATGCTACTCTTACAGATTCACAGAATGTTAGTTCTGAAAGGGATCTTCATGTTTTTCATAGAAATCCGTATATATACTGTATACTAAGAAAAAGGAATAGGAAGGTTTGTGGCTGGAAGTGGCAGATCCAGGGGCTCCGGCTGCCCTGAGGGCTGAGGGTTCAATACCTCTGCATGCCAGTGTGACTAGACGGGGGCAAGCAAATGACTGTCAGCCTGCCCAAAAGCCGTTCCTGTCACACTGATGTTACTTAGCACACTTGCTTGGAAATACTACCTTAGAGATTGTTTAGCCCAGCCCTTCAGTGTGTTTGTTTATTTTCTGGTGCTTCAGTTTTAGAAAGGAGAGAACCAAGGCGCAGAGAGGTGGCGTGGCTTACCCTAGAGCGCATACTGAGTCGGAGTTTCTCCCACTAGCTCCATGTAGAGATGGCTCCTCTTCACCACTATAAGGTACTTTCACAATGCTCTAAGTCCAGGGTCCCCAACTTCCTGCCCCTTTGTTTATGTCTGGAAAGCGCGTCATTCCATTTCCCACTCATTTCTTCCTCTCCACTTGGTGACTTCCTATTCATCCTTCAAAGCCCAATTAGATTATTTACCTCCTTTGTCTAGCCTTCCCTATCTGCCCTGGGCAATTAGTCACTCCCTCTTCCTTTACCAGTGATTTCTTTTTTTAAAAAACAGCTTTAATAAGATACAACTTACATACACTGAAATGTGCCCAGTTTCAGCGTACAGCTCAATGCATTTTGACAAACGTATCCACCTGTGTGTCTACCACCACATCAATATGTAGAACATTTCCATTGCCCCAAAAGTTCCCTCATGCTCTTTTCAGTTAATTGCCCTCCTCTCCCAGCCCTAGGCAATCACTGATCTGCTTTCTGTCCCTGTAGATTAGATTTGTGTTCTCCAGAATATCATATAAATGGAAACAAACAATATGTACTGCCTTGCCCTTGGTTTCTTTTGCTCAGGATAATATTTTTGAAACTTTTCTATGTTGTTGTCTGTATCAGTAGTTTGTTCCTTTTGTGGGAGTAATATTCTATTATGTGGAGAGACCACAGTTTGTTTCATCATTCACCTGTTGATGGACATCTGGATTGTTTCCAGTTTTTTTCGCTATTATGAATAAAGCTGCTGTGCACCCCCACAGCGTTTTACATTGACTTGTACTATAGCACTTTTCATGTTAATTCTAATTATAGTTTATATATAGTGGAAAGAGCACTACCACCAGAGCCGAGCCCTAGATTTCTGGTTCTAAGTTAATGATGTATGTAAATTGCTCAGCACAGTTTCAGCATATGGTAAATGCTTAATCAATAATAGCTATTATGGCTGCTGTTCTTTTTACCTGTGTGACCATGAATAAGTTACTTAACCTCTCTGAGTCTCAGCTTCTCCTCATGTGAAATGAGAAATTTCCAGGGTCTTGCCCGCAATGCTGAAACACACTGTGAGGGGTATCCAGCAATCATGTAGGGCGTTGGTAGGGGATGCTCTCCCAGTGGCCGATTAAATAATGGATGGTATGACTTAAGACTTGTTGGAGGGCCGGCCCGGTGGCATAGGGGTAAAGTTTCCACGTTCCATTTCGGTGTTCTGGGGTTCACCAGATCACATCCACGGTGCAGACCTATGCACCACTTGTTGAGCCATGCTGTGGCAGGCGTCCCACATATAAAGTAGAGAAAGATGGGCATGGATGTTAGCTCAGGGTCAGTCGTCCTCAGCAAAAAAGAGGAGGGTTGGAGGCAGATGTTAGCTCAGGGCTAATCTTCCTCAAAAAAACAGACAAACAAAAGACTTGTTGGGAGTGACATGCTCAGCCAATTCAGTGGGAGGAGAGTTTACAGTGGGAAGCTGGGGAGAGATGGGCATAGGGAGCAGTAATAAGCTTCATGGAAAGTTACACACAGACACACAGGATGTGGGACAGAGCATTTCTTTGAGCTTCAGGGAGCATGTCCAGGATGGGCTTACATGTGTGCTAAAGCAAGTGAATTATGATGATCCTCCCCAAATAACTTGGCTTTAGTGCTAAGGATATCCAGCCAGGCTCAAGGTTGCACAAGCCTTTTTCCCGTAGCTCTTTGCTAATTGAATTAAACCCTTCTTGGCAACAAGGGAGTCTCCCAAAGACTGACGGGAAGGATTGATTTTGCCAGTTGCTTCAGGCTGCGTGTCTCAGCTCAAACGCCTCTTTTAGCTACTGCCTCCTCTCATCTTCCTGTGACCGTTAGTGACACCTGATCGCATTACACACCGGTGCCCTTCTGGGTATCATCTGTTGGCTAATACAATTGCTGCTAATTCGTAGAGGACAGGGCTCTGTACCCGGCTGGGGAGTCTTCACAGTGTCCTCACGCCCTTTTCAGCTTCAGCTGCAATGCCAATGGAATTTAAGGTACTTCACTCAGAAAAGGGAATGCTGTGTTTTGTTTTCCAGAATCACGTATGTGCTAGAACCCAAGCCAGCAGTAGAACAAAAGGAAAGCCACAGAATTAAAGTCTGTCTTCCAGCCCTTCACCTCCTCCTACTGTGGGCTTCAACTCACTGTCAAAGCTCACTGTGCCTTGCTCTGATGCTGGCCCTGACATTGGTTCCCCTACATTAAACCCAGCATATATGGGGTTAAAACCAAGAGCACCCAGCCCCTTCCCCTGCTTCTCCAGTTCCAGTAACTGGTTCTTGAAATTTATTGTGGGGAAACTGATAGCCAGAGAATAGCAAGAAGCTGAAACTTCCCAGACCCCAACTCCTCAGCTTCCTGACACCAGCGTAGGGGGTCGGAATTGATCACCCTAAAAGGTGTCTCTTTGGTTAAGGACAAGAGACTCTAAAAGAAACTTTGACCTTCCCCCTAACTGCCTAAAAGAATTCAAGATAGACGTCCTGTCCCCAGGACAGGCTGTCACCATAGATAACTCTGGGTATCAGTAGACTGTGAGGGTCCTTGCTAAGCCCATTCTTATCAAAGTTCTGTTTACCAAATCTCTGCTTTTCCATCTCCATGTGAATTGTCTTCCTCCCCTTCAAAGTCCCAAACCTCTACCCCCAACATCTTCCTTTGTCTTTAGCTGAAGATGGTATTTAAGGTGACATCTTCACCCATTCTGGCCCGATACTCAGTTTTTCTGGGTTTCTCCCATGTATATATGTTATAAAGCTTTGTTTGATTTTCTTCTGTTATTCTGTCTCATGTCAATTCAATCCTTAGACCAGCAAGAAGGACCTAGATGGTAGAGGAATTGTCTTCCTCCCCTAAACCAGAATTCACCATCCATCACAGAGGCAGACAACCAGGGACATGGATCTGTGGATTCTTTTATCTCACCATCCACCTCTCTGCAAGGAGCCTCACAAGGCCAAACACAGGCTGGTGGGAAGGTGCCAACCAGCAAGGCTACATGTTCCTCCTCCCTACAAGCAGCCACATTCCTCACAACCTTTGAAAACCCTTGCCTCCCATCTTTTGAAGAGACAAATTTGAGGGTTTACTCTCATCTCCCGGCTGACATCACCCAAAATAAACCCCTTTCCTTGCCATAAGCCTGGTGTTCCAGTTTTTATTTTGGCTCTCTCTTATGTGGTGGGTAAAAGAATGTGTGTTTGTGGCTGATAACAGCTCTGCCTGGAGCCTTCGCATGGCATTCTCCCAAGCTCTGAGCCTTCCTCCCATTCCTTCGTGATAACCTCTCTTTTGTGGCATATTTCCTTTTCGTTAAATTCATAAGTATCTAAAAATTGTGTTTCAAACTGCTAAGGCATCTCTCTCATAGGTCAAATACTTCATAGCTATAAGTTCCTTTGGAGAATTAGAATTTACCTCAAATGAGTGATTCGCAGGCTGAGCATTTCAGGTAACTTGATGTACCTGCAATTGGAGATATTTTGAGGCAGGTGGTTATTTTATTTTTTTTAAAGATTTTATTTTTTTTCCTTTTTCTCCCCAAAGCACCCTGGTACATAGTTGTGTATTCTTCGTTGTGGGTCCTTCTAGTTGTGGCATGTGGGACGCTGCCTCAGCGTGGTTTGATGAACAGTGCCATGTCGGCGCCCAGGATTCAAACCAACGAAACACTGGGCCGCCTGCAGCGGCGCGCGCGAACTTAACCACTCGGCCACGGGGCCAGCCCCAAGGCAGGTGGTTATTTTAAGTTTACTTCATATCAGCTACTAATGCTCGCTAACATGGCCTATGAGATGAATAGAAATATTTTACAGTGCTTGTGATTCTGCATAAGATGGTAATTTTACATGATTGTGTGGAAAACTGAACCAGGAGCTACCTTGTCATGGAAGCAGAACTGGTCATCCAGTTCCTCAGTATGATAGTAGGACCTATGGCTAATAAACTAATTGGGACTGTTTGTTCCAATTATTTGTTCAGGTCCAATTCTTCTGTGGCCATGTGACCACAGCGTTTATTAAAAATTGTCCATCTTGCTTCCAGGAATAAACAGTAGCATGATTCATAAGAGAGGAAAAGGCCCTTAAGGTATGCAATCATCTCCAGGCCAGAGGGATGGCTACAATTTATCAGAATCACCACTGTCAATAAATAGTGGGACTTTCAGAACTTGGTTGCCTTCTGAATAAAGCCAGTAAGGATTAACACATGACAAGTAATTTACCTTTTACAGAAACCACGCAGAGATGGTTTGTAGATATGTAATTGTTAGAGATTCAGGAAACCTCTAAGTTTTATAAAATTGATCTAGATATACCGTTTAGACAGGAACATCACCAAAGAAAGCTATAGCCTAGTAAACTATATTATAGCCTAAATGCATGAACAAATCAAGAAGAAACAGCAGGTTGTGTTCTTCACGGAGCACTCATTTAGCAGTGTTCTGCTGCAGTCGGCAGTACAAGTTTATAAGAACTGATTGTTAAATGTTCAGGAATTTTGCAAGTTGTTAAATTCTGTTGGTGGCTTGAAATAAGCTGTGGTGGGAGTGTTTAACCACAGAAATTGGCAACTGCTATAGACCGGAGCTTTTTATTTGTTTGCTTTGTTTTGTTTTCAGAGAGCTGGTTTACCAGTCCACCGATGTCTACTGCTGTTGAAGGCAGAGAGATTCTATCTGTCAGGAAAATTTATATTCCCATCTCTCAGAGAGGGATGTGTTATTGTGGAACTGGAAAAACTCGCTAGACATTTTCCAGAAACTACGATTAGTATTCCTTCAGTTGTCTTTGCTTCAGGTCTGTGCTCCCCAAACAAACTGCTGCTTATTTATCTGGTACAGTAGATCAACTGGTGTTAAATGGTACTGCTTAAAGCCCTGGGGAGTCTAAGGAACCCTCTTAGGGGACATCTGGGGAAGGGAGGAGAAGGGTCACGTGAGGCTGAGCAGGACTTTCATTTATCTTCAACCAGAGCATTTTTATTTTCTCCATTTTACATATTGGTTGTCCACAAAAAACAAAACCAAACCAACAAAACACTTGTTTGAAGAAAGCGGACCACTGCTGAACAAACTTCTGGAAATAGAATGCCAGAACTCTTTGTTCACCAGAAAAGCACAGCCCTTATTGTGAATAAATTATTATTCTGGGTATAATTCAGCCACTTGTGAGTTTAGTTAACCTCACTTAGTTTCCTATTAACTGGTAAGGTTGGGATACACCGATTGAAAATTCAAATTTCTTGACACACCATGTTGAAGACCAGACCCACGCGTGAGGAGCTGCCTTTCCGAGATTTTGACCAGAGCGTCAGCAGGCCATCCTCTCTGATCGCTCTCTCTTATATGTAGCAACTGGGAGACTTCCTCTTTGCTACAAGGAAACTGGAAAATGAGTCAATCAGGTGAGCTGGGCTCAAGTCCTGGAAAGTTTTTAAAATGGCTCCTCTTCTAGTTACAAAAGTGACCTGACGTCCCTTATCAAGTTTTAGAAAATTAGAAAAGCAAAAAGAAGAAAACAAAAACCATTTGCACTATCCAAAGACAGTCACCATTACTTTCAGAGGATATTCCAGCTGTTGATACAAACATACATGTTCACTCACATATACGTCATTCTTTTTTAAGAGGAGTTTTGAAACATTCAGTTCGCAATGTAATGCCACTTGACTGGTTCTCATCATAGCTTCCTCATCTGTAATACGTGAGTGTGGGCTGATCTATTCATGAAACGCCTCTTCTCTATATGAAATTCTAAATAAAAGCTAATATAAAACCTTCAAATTAAAAAAAATCAAGTAGTTATTTTACTAGGTACTCTATGCATACGGTATAATCAAAAGCGCAGTATAGTATTCAACAAACAGACGGCTCCCTCCTACAGCCTCCAGTTCACTCCAGAGGCAATCATTGTTAGTGGTTCCTTGTTCATTTTCCAGAGATATTCTGAGCGTATACAAGCATATCTGTAAAGTGTAACAACTAATTTAAAGGAACGATTTGTGGTTTATATATGGAAGTAGAGCTCAAATGTTTTCAATCTATTAGAATCTTTTTAAAAAGTGTTTTGTTCTTGGGGCTGGCCCTGTGGCCAAGTGGTTGAGTCTGCGCGCTCTGCTGCAGGCGGCCCAGTGTTTCGTTGGTTCGAATCCTGGGCGCCGACATGGCACTGCTCATCGAGCCACGCTGAGGCAGCGTCCCACATGGCACAACTAGAAGGACCCACAACGAAGAATGTACAACTATGTACTGGGGGGCTTTGGGGAGAAAAAGGGAAAAAAAAAAAATCTTAAAAAAAAAAAAAAGTGTTTTGTTCTTGTTTTGTTTTTGTACTTTATTTTCCTTTATGGCTAGAGAAAACTCATCTATAGTGATTATTGTTGTCATAGTCATCAGCAAACATAAATTAAGCCCCTGTTGTATGCAGGTTACCGTAAGAGTATCTTCACTTAGAGAATGAAGAAGTGTTTTGACTTTGGGAGTGGGAGTTGGGGCTTGGTAAGATGATAACTGCATAACAATAAGACTTGCCAAATCAGAAGTAAAGAACATATCTTCATTTTTTGTCTGGAAAGTTAAAAAGAAAAAAATCCCAGCATAATCACATTTAGAAGTGAGCAGGTACTGTGTGTTTAGGAAGTCAGTGTAGATGTGGCAGTTTTTGTTACCTGTGTATAGCCAATGTGGAGATGGTATTAGTTTCCTATTGCTGCTGTGACAAATCACCACAACCACAGTGGCTTAAAACAACACAAATTTATTAGCTCATAGTTCTATAGATTAGAAGTCTGACACAGGTCTTACTGGGCTAAAATTAAGATTTTGACAGTGCTGCATTCCTTTCCAGAGGCTCTAGAACCCCTTTTCCTGCCTTTTTCAGTTTCTAGAGGCCACCACATTCGTTGGCTCACAGCTACCCTTTTCCACCTTCAAAGCTAGCAATGTTGCATCTCTGCTCTGTCTTCGGTAGGCACGTCTTCCCCTGACCACAGCCAGGAAGGGCTCTCTGCTTTTAAGGTCTTGCGTGATTAGATTGGGCCCAGATAATTCAGAATAACCCAGATAATCTAGAATAACTTTCTTATCTCAAGGCCCTTAATTTAATCAAATCTACAGTCTCTTTGTCAAGTATGGTAATATATTCACAGGCTTTAGGGGTTAGAATGTGGATATCCTTGGGGGGGCCTGCCTACCACAGGGGGCAGGAGAAATGAATTCCCAAAGGAAAGAAGTATTCCTTCTATGCTGTCCTATGTGATGAAGGATTCTTGTGAAAATCCCCAAATAGGGCCTGAAATGTCTGGCCCTAGCCAAGTAGCAATTTTCTACTTCTTATGGGAATAATATACTAGCACATTGTGACCATTGTTCATAAGCAAGGCAGGCTGGAGTCACTGAGTCTTTTCCTGTAAGATATTTTAATGTCTCACTGAGTAACATATACTACTCCTTTGGTTGAAATCCCTCTTATTTAAGAATCCCGTTTCCTTAACTTTTTAAGATGCATTTCTTTATAAACAGTCAAGGTATAAGCTTGTCACTTTGAATCTCAAACAATGCAAAAGGAAGTTATAAAAGTATTTTTACCAGTGGCCCAGAATTAAAGCTTGTTGAATCTGCAGAGACTTAACACTAAGGCCAGGGGAAAGCCTCAGTTTCTCAGGGAGGAATTATAGATCCAGAGTCCTTTGGCAAACTGAAGATTCCCACCTACAGGAGGAAGACTGAAAGCGTTATAGAAAATACCCAGATATTTTTGGGACGTTGCATATATTGACAATTGGTCTGAGGAAGAAAAAAATCAAACTTGGTTTACAGAGGGGTCTGTACAATAAGCTGGCACCATCCAAAAGTAGATAGCTGCAGCATTACAGCCCCACTCAGGGATGACCCTGAAGGACCAGAGTGAAGGAATCTCCTTCCAGTGGGCAGAACTTTGGACAATAGATTTGGTTGTTCATATCTAGAGTGAGAGATGGCCAGAAGTATGGATCTACACTGCTTCATGGGCAGTTGCTATTTGTTGGGCTGGTGGGCTAGGGACTTGGAAGAAACAGGATTCAACAATTGATCACAAGGAAGTTTTGGGAAGAAGTATGTGGATGGACCTCTCTGAACGGGCACAAACTCTGAAGATATTTGTGTTCCACATGAAAGCCCACTGAAGGACATCTACGGCAGAGGAGGCTCTTAATTATCAGGTGGACAAAATGATGCTTTTTGAGATGTCAGTCACTTTGCCTAGCCACCCCAGTGTTTACTCAATGAACCTCTGAACAAAGTGGCTGTGGTGGCTGGGATGGAGACTATGCATGGGCTTAACAACACACACATGCTTACTAAGGCTGACTTGGCTAATGCTTCTGCTGAGTGCCGAATCTGCCAACACAAATACCAACATTAAATCCCCTTGGGTGGCTTCTCTGACGCATGGCTTCTGTAGCACCCACTGACCACCAGCACCCAGTGGCCAGTAGGTGGCACCTCTCCAGGCTGTTTCATAGTGCAGTGTCTCCGGTGAGACATCTCCCTGTGAATAACTTTCCTTAGCACCCTAGAGGATGGATTTCCAGCAAGTTCTGCCAGCACAGCACCATGAAGACTTCTCTGTCATCCAACGAGTCACTCTTGAGCTCTCTCCAAGATTTGGACCTTGAACCAGGGGACTGAAACAGATAGAGAATAAATAAACACTTTCATTAATTTGATTGATTATTGTCCTGAAATTTCCGTCTCACTGTGATAAGAGGAATCAAAGCCTGATCCAGTCCTAAGAGGGCGAAGGCATCCCCAAATCTCACATGTCCTAAAATAGGAAACAATATTTCTTCAAGAATTCATGAAAATTTATTTCTTATTTTTAAACTGAAGCTGAATATACAAGAATAATTCTGCATGACTTTTGTTTATAATTAAAAAAAATCCAAATCCTTCATGTTTGCATAAACTTTTGTTTTAAAAAGGGTTGTCTACAAAATTGATTGTGACGGAAGAGATTAATGTATGAATGAGCCTTTCCAATGTCCACCTTTGGTTTTAGGCTAATGCAGTCTTTTGGTGCTTGTGTCCTGTGGCTATTTAAAGCCTGAAAAACAACAATTAACCTTGGAGGTGCCTTATGACTTACAACCTACTTTTACATATACTATAACTTTTAATCAACAACCTTCAAAGTTAGTTATGATAATTTAAATAATGTAACTTTTTTCTTGTTAAAATATTATATTTTTATTGTAGAAAATTTAACAAACAGCGGTTGTTTGCACATTCTACTTCGGCAGCCCAGGGTCGAGGTTTAGGATCCCAGGTTCGGGCCTATGCACTGCTTGGCAAGCCACGCTGTGGCAGGCGTCCCACATATAAAGTAGAGGAAGATGGGCACAGATGTTAGCTTAGGGCCAGTCTTCCTCAGCAAAAAGAGGAGGATTGGCAGCAGATGTTAGCTCAGGGCTAATCTTCCTCAAAAAAAAAAAAAAAAGAATACATTTTAAATGACCTATAATCTCACTATCAAGTGATAACTGTTGTTAGAACTTTAATGTATATTCATCCAGTCTTGTTTTTATCCATATAAAGACATGTTTTTCTAAAAATGGACTCATGCTGCACGTAATCTGCTAATTTATATAACAATATAGCATGAATATGTTTTTATGTCATTAAGTGTGTTCTCCCTTAACCATGATCTTAATCCTTTGGAATTAAGACCTCCTTAAGAATCTAATGACGGCTATATGCCTAAACCCCAGAAGAAGCAATTATGCAAATACACAATTGAAATTTATCAGCGAATGAACACAGGAGGACCTAGGATTTCTGGGAGTTGAAGCTTACATAATTTTGGAGACTCTCTCTTATTTTCTTGTTTTAAACTTTATTTTCTTTTTCATAGGTTGCACACTTACTTTTAAAACATTTAAACAATGCAAAATATATAAAGTGGCAGCAGCTACCCCAACCTGGCCCCAAGTCATTCTGGTAAAGAGAATGGTATTTTCCCTATTTATGAAACTATAAATGAATAATATTTTCTACAGTATTAGTTTTTAAAAAATGCAAATAGGATCATACAGTTCAACAACTTGCTCTTCTCACTTAATAGTATCTTAGACATTGAAGAGTATTTATTAAATGTGAGAAAGTGAATTTAATTTTGACTCTCCATCTCTAAGTTTCAATCTAATTGTTAGCTGATATGAAAATGATTTCTTTAATGTTTTCATATCAGTTAATTATTAATTAGGTAGCCTTTTGGAAATGCTGCACAGTTTTATTAAATAGGAAAAAAGAGTGCTTTTAGTACTTGTGATTTCTGTTAAAAAAGTTTATTTTATTTTGGTTAAGAAACAAAATGAAACACTTGTCTAGACTGCAGGATTGAGAAACTGACCTGAAAATGATGGAAAATTTCCATTTTCTCACACCATAGGGATGCTCTGTAAAAGAAAAAACCAAAATTACATATAAGTGTGAATATTTATTTAGAATAAGAAATCACAACATCTTGCTAGAGACTTAGAGATTCAGTTCCTTTTTAAATGAGATCTGTTCAGGAAATTTACCAGAAATGCTTATACAAAAATCCTTCCTGATTGCAACCTGGCTTCCCCTTCACATGTGGAAACTTCTTTAACTCTCAGCAATTCAGTACTCACAGAGGCCTGCATAAATAAGGGGTGAGAGAGCCTTCCTAGCCCCTCATTTCATTAACTTCAAGGTAAATTCACGTCTGTTCGTGAATTAGACCTATTGGGCCCCAGGTGAAGAACCCCTGCTCCACCGTAGCATCTTTAACGGCTTCCCAGTGGGCTACTGCATGGAGGTACAAAAGTGTGCTTAACCAGGTGCCTTCTGTTGAACATTTAAGATGGTGTTATAAACAACTCTGGGATAAACATCCTTATAGCTAGATCTCTGCACACTTCCTTGGTTATTTCCTTAGGATAAATTCCTGGAAGTGGATCAAAGGGTACGGCAAATTTTAAAACTTTAGATTTGGCAAGAATACTTAAGTTCCATTTCACATATAAAAAAAGTGAGGGCGTAGTGGTTCACAGATATGGATCTTTAAACGCAACTTCTCTGACCCGAATCATATGTCATTCACAGTCTACCACACGACTCCTGTAAACCATCTGCCACTGTAAAGGTTTTGCCTCCAGAATGACTCCATTGTGAGAGATGCTCCATTTCCCAGCCTTGCCACATGCATTTAGCTTCAGCTCAGGTTGTTCTCCACGATTTAGTTGTGGTAAACCTTTTAATTTGACACAGGACAGCCGTTAGGTATTTCTTGGGCATTGCTATTTGCTTAACTCCTTGGATTTCAGGAGGATTGTGTCTGGCACATAAGAGATGCTCAGTAAACTGTTGATTGTTGAAAGGAGTTGAATAGTTTCAACAGTCCTACAACTCCAGAGACGGGCTGTGTTTCCAAAATGTCACCATCTAGCTTGTGCTCCTAACATTTATGGTCCCAGATGGAAATGGCTGTAGACTTTTGAGAGGTCCATGGCTATTCCAAACCTTATGGCTATACAGTTTTGTGACAAAGTTTGTTGCATTTTGTACACTACTTTATTAAAGGTATGGAGGTAAGGGAATCAGCAAACGAGGGGACAGGTAGCTGGCTGCAATGCTCACTTTTCTCTCCCCCTGACTAGTTCAAAGCTAAAATAAGCAGACGTTTACTGAATACCTGCAAGGCATCGGCCACACTGGTTTAAGGAGTCTCAGTTAAAAGAATATCATTACATAGTCAGATTCCGACCTACATCACACAATTATTTATGTTTAGTTTTATATATCATTATAAGGTGTATTGAGGAAGCTGTCTAAAATAGTGGAAAAGAACGACCAACAGAGAGTGGTCTGCTTTTTACCTAGTTGTCTGGGTTAATCTACCGGGTCTGTGTCCTGGTCATCAAACCACACTAACAATGCCTTGCTAAGATGGAATTCGAATTCTACAAACACACACATTCATGTTTATATCTATATCTTTCTATATTTCGGGTTGATTCATTTAGGAAGATACTCTTTGAATAAAGTTTCATGTATATAACATGTTTAACTTCTGTAAGACGTTTAGTATTCATAGATAATTAGGTGTTCTTAGATAATGCTTTTCAGACGGGGTGTTTGGAGTGGTGATTTAATAATCATTTAAAATACCATAAACTACTTTGTGGAGCTCACAATGGGGGAAACTACGACATTTATGAAATGGTAGCTCTTGTTCATCGGAGTAAAGACATCCGCGGAGGGCAAACTGCAAGAAGCGTGTGTGGCGCACCTGGGATTACTTTTTGAACGCCTTCACATCTGCTTAATTTTGTTTAAACATGACGGTAAGAAAACAAAACAAAACCCTCACAGCCGTCAATTTATTTCCCTATCTGGTTGTAATAATCTTACATTCTTTAGGAGCTACTATAAACAGCAGCAAAGATGATCCATGCTCTTGAAAAAAGTAATTGTATTTATTAAAAATATGTCACAATGCGTTTGTGTGCAGTCAAAACAGAAGGGGGTGTATCAGGATTTAATGTCTCTGACACATTCCTTTGGCTCAGATAAAACATTACCTCTTCGCCTTCAGTGGCCAATTTAGCATAACCATTTTCATGGCTATATGTAGGCACATTACAAAAAGCAAAAAATAAATCACGATGCTATTCCTTTCGCTGCAGCACTAGGCATCTAATTGATTGAGGTTTGGCCACAAAGTGCAATTTCGTTGCGTTCTGGCAGCCCAGCTGGGGTAACTGCCCACGTCCCCCAGCTGCTTCTTAGGGACACTCCCGGGGTTAGGCAAAGGCTAGGCCTCACCACGGTCCGCAGGGTCTGAAGCGACCGCGGTACCACCCGGGGAGGAGCGTCAAGAACCGCTCGTCGGCCGCCGCTCAAAGCCTCCTTCCTAAGAGTGCGGCTGATTGACGGTAGCAGGTGGGCGGGGGCTCTAATTGGGAGCGCGGAGAAGATGATACGAGGAACCTGTGGAGCCGCCCGCAGACCGGTTCGGTTCGGTTCGTTGGGCGGCGGCAGCCGAGAACGAGCGCCGGCTGCGCGCGCAACGCCCGCTCCCGACTCGGGCCGCGCGGCCCCCCGGTCCCCCGGCGGCGCGCGCGCCCCGCCCACCCCCCTGCGCGCGTTCCCGCCCTGCCGGCGCGCGCCCCCGTCCCTTCCCGCCTCGGCTCCTGCCCGCGCGCGCCCCGCCCTCCGTCCCGCGCGCGCCAGCTCTGCGCCCACCCGCCCCCCGGCGCGCGCGAGCCGGCTGGCGAGGCGCGCGGGGGGCGGGGCGCCGCGCTGACGTTGCCCGGGATGCGGGCAGGTTCCGCCGCCGCCGCCGCCGCCGCCTCGCCTGCCACCGGGGTTTGTATGAACACACCGGGCGGCGGGCGGCGAGGGGTTCGCCGTGCGCCCGGGGAGCAGCCGCTGGCGCTGCCGGCGCCGAGCCGGGTGCTGCGGCTGTGCCCAGGCCCTGCCAGCGCCCCATCCTGGAGCCGGTGAGCGCCCCGCCGCCGTCCGCGCGTCCCGGCCGGCCGTCCCTCTGCTCTCCGCGGCTGCGGCGTCCGGGGGCGGGGGAAGCGGGCAGCAGCGGCCCCGGGCTCGCCGCCGTCTGCGCCCTGGACCCCTCCGCCCCTCTCCTGACAGGTCGGGGAACGCGTGTCTTTCGGGGGGTGGGCCGAGTCGTGAGGGAAACCCCCGATGGGTTGGGGCTGTGGCCGCTTTTTGGAAAACGCCCCACCCAGCCCCCACCTCCGGACGGTCGGTCGCCCCCGCCCCAGTCCCCGCGGAGGGTCCCCGCGCAGAGGCGGCCCCCGTGCCCTGCCTTTCCTCTTGGGCCCCGAGCGCCGGTCGCCGCGGTGCGGCGGGAGCAGAGCCGAGGGCGGCGGGCTGGGGCCGAGCGCGCGCCCCGCGTCCCCACCCGCCGGGCCCCCGCCCCTCGGTGCGCCGGCTGCCAGGTGGGCTGGTGAGTGTGACAGCGGCGAGGCGAGGTTTGCTTCCTCTCAGTGCGGGGCTTGGCCTGAAGTGTGTTCTCTGTTTACATCTTGTCGCCTTGTGGTTTGATTTGAACCTGTATCCGATCGCCCTCGATGACAGTGCAGTGTCCCTACGGCCTTCCTGCCTGAGTTGCGGCTTCTGAATCGCAGGTGTTCAAGGACTCCTGCCAGCCCAGCGCCGGGGTTTGCCGGGCTCCACGGCCGCTGCCGCCTGGTGCCGCTTACGCCTGGGAGTACCTGTGCGGTTCTGAGTCGGTTGGTTTCCTTTCCTGGGCATTTTCTCGTGATCGAAGGGAGTTTTGGTACATCTTAGTGTAATCGATGTGAATACAGCCCATTTCTCGTTTTAGTGTAGCTTGCTCAAGTGTCTGAAGGTCTGGCACTGCTGATGGCCTAAGACGTTCTAACACTTAGCGGGAATTTTCATTGGCGATATTAACTCTGTGTGGGTTTTTTTTTTTTTCCTTCACGTGTTCAAAATTGTAACAGTGTTTAATTATAATGCATGACAATTTGTCATTAGAAAGGACTTTAACAGTTATCTCGATCACTCATTTTCACTTCCCTTTTATGTCCGTGTTATCTCTGTGTAAATGGAGTTATCACTTTATTTGTTAACTTCTGAATAATTCTTATAAATTGTCTTCTTTCCTGAGAAAACCAGAAAGTTATTTTTGTCATTGTATTGTGGCGGGAGGCCAAATAAGTAGTAGTGTATTTAAGGCACTTTAAATGGTACATATTTTTAAACATGTGCCAAATGTTAATCAAAACCAACCAACCAAAAAAAAGAAAACCCTGGAAGATCTATAAGCATTTCCTATGTAATTACTATGAGAGAGTTGGCGGTTCCTTATCCACTCCTTATTTCTCATCCTTAAGCAGAGTTGTAATGTGACTTGTTCAGTGTCCCTTTCCACTTGAGTTAAGTTCTTGAAGGAAATTAGAGGTTAATGACTTCAAAATTCTGCCTTGAATGGCTTCAACACATATTTAGAACTGCAGTCTCACTCTGAACTCTGAAATGAAGGGAGCAGACTTACAGTTACCCTTGTAATTGGCCAACACTGCAAAAACATTTAAATGTATTAATGTAATTTAACTTTTGTAGAAGCAATTTTTACAAAGCTTTGAATTGAGGCGCTATTCTCTTTAGAACAGTCTAGCTAAACTTCTGTATGATAATGGTTTTATCTCTGATAGCAAAGAGAAGAGAGGTCAAGACTTGTGAAATTCCCTAATTTGTATTATAGTCTGCATTTTGGAGTTTTAAAAAAATTCATCTTTCAAATTCTGCTCTTCTTGCTTGAAGTCCCCCAGTACCTGGAAGTTGAACAATGCATCACCCTGTCAGAGGGCTCTCTGCAGGTTGGGAGCTTCCCTTAGGCGGTGGGTCTCCATGTAAACACTAGGAATTGTTTAGAGTGGGCGCTGAATTTCAAACTTTGTACATTGTTGCTGGTTACTGTGCCTGTGTACTATAGTGTAGTGGCTAATCGGGCCTCAGAGCCAGACTGGCTGGCTTTGAATCCGGGCTTTGCTTTAGGCAAGTTATTTATCCTCTTTGTGCTTCAATTTTCTCAACTCCAAAAGTGGGAATAATAGTTATACCCTTAAGATGGTCTTGAGTATTAAATGAGTTAATACACATGAAGTGCTTAGCCCACAGTGCCTCGTACATAGTTAGCGCTCGGGAAATGCTGCTGCTTTTCCTCAGTCTTCCATGGGATCTAGTAAGCCGAAGAAGGACTTTGGGCTGATGGAGCGTTATTAGTGCAGATTATTCCTCTATGACCCATTTGCTCCTTTGAGACTAAATGAGAGCTTAGTTTCACTGTCCTGCCTTGGAAGCATGCAATTTAGTTTTAAATAGAACAGCTGGGAGCCTGAGCTGGGTGCCCTGAGATGCTGCTGGAGAGCTGCTCAAGTGCCCTGTTTGAACCCTCTGACAGGACCTTGGATTGTCTCCCTCCTGGTGCTGTTGGCTGCCATTTTAGTCACCTGTTTTTGAATTTGTGATTGTGCATTTCTTTGACTGTCATGTGCTGCTATCAAAAATATTATCTATCAAACTCTTGAGACGTATATATGTTTTTATCTGATAAGATATTGCATGATGTTTCCAGGATATATAAAGTCAGTTTCGTGTACGCTTTCCTTTTTGGTTTTGTTTTCTTCTTTATTGATCTTGCACAGAGTGAGGTTAGTTTTGCTTTGACATTGTGTTCCTTTTCAGCTTTCATGTAATTGTCCTAGGGAAGTTTGTTTTTAAATTAATGATTTTATGTACTGTTGCTCTTCCTGGTTTACAGGGATCTGCTATGAATACTCTGTTCTTTAAATCAGGTGTTTTCAAACTTTTGATCTAAGGATGCTTTTATACTCTGAAAAAATTATTGAGCACGCCAAAGAGCTTTTGTGGATTATATCTCTCTATACTTTTTATATTACAGATTGAAACAGAAATATAAAATTTTCTATTAATTCACTTAAAAATGACTTTTTAATAAAAAATGACTTTTTCAAAACAAGGTAGGAGAGTGGCATTGTTTTATATTTTTGTAAATCTGTAATATCTGGTTTAATAGAAACAGCTCGTTTCTCATATCTGCTTCTGCATTCGGTCTGTTGCAATATGTTGTGTGGGTTGAAGTATACAGAGGGAGAAAATCCAGCCTTACACAGTTAATGGCTGGAAAAGGGAGGGATATTTCAATAGCCTTTTCAGATAATTGTGGATATTCTTGTTTGGTACTACGTGAAAACTCAACATGTGGTAGTTTTTTAGTTATTTGCAATATAGAATCTGAAATCCTATCTGTGGACTTTTTCATAATGTTGTATTAAAATCCATTGGTCTGAACTTTGAATGGATCTTATAGAATCAAGTTTGAGTTTTATAACATCATGCCTTGATCACTGGTAAATATTAGTTCAGTCAGTTATGCAGATCTTCCAAATGTTGACACATTTCATTATATAATATCAAAAAGTCACATTTGTTAATATCACCACTCATTCTATCAGAAACAAATTATTGGGAAGCTGTCCAGGTCATGACATGATAGTAGATATGAGTTTTCCAGAAATCTGGTTTTTGTTTAAAAGCTTATATTTTATCATTGGCAACAAATATGACTGCCAGTTGTTTCCTAGAAGTGCAGGCAGACTTTGTTCATCTCTGAGAGAACCTCTGCCATAATACCTTAGCCTGAATAACCTTAGTCATTCTTTCAAGTAAAGATAGTGTTTTCATAATAAAAGGGGCTAGTTCAAGCTCTCAGTTCAGTGACACAGCATTTTTCCTTGAGACAGCCATCAGCTATTGTAATTCAGGATGTAGCCAACCCTGGTGGCCTAGTGGTTATGGTTTGAGAGGCTCTCACTGCTGCGTCACAGTTCCTTTTTGCTTAGGGAACAACACCACCATCTCTCACTTGTTACACTGTGACAGCTGCGTGTTGTTGTGATGCTGTGATGCTGAAGGCTGTGCCACTGATATTTCAAATACCAGCAGGGTCACTCATGGTGGACAAGTTTCAGCAGAGCTTCCAGACTAAGGCAGACTAGGAAGAAGGACCTGGCCACCCGCTTCTGAAAAAATTGGCCTTTGAAAACCCTGTGAATAGCAGTGGAGCATTCTCTGATACAGTGCTGGAAGGGGAGCGGATGGCGCAAAAAGATCAGGCAGGTTCCGCTCTGCTGGACACAGGGTCGCTAGGAGTCAGAATGGACTCCATGGTACTAACAGCAGCAAATGTAGCCTTCATGCATACTTACCATTCTGTGTCACAGAATATTAAAAGGATGTATATTCAAGGGCCGAGATTTAATAAAATAAATAATTTGTACTGTTTTTTTCGCCTTCTTCTTCCCAAAGCCCCCCAGTACATAGTTGTATATTCTAGCTGCAGGTCCTTCTAGTTGTCCTTTGTGGGGTGCCGCCTCAGCATGGCTTGATGAGCCCAGCTAGGTCCCCGCCCAGGATCTGAACTGGTGAAACCCTGGGCCGCTGAAGCTGAGCGCGGGAACTTAACCACTCGGCCACGGGGCCGGCCCCTAATTTTTACATTTTAAGGACAT